CACCACAACTTTCACAATTTCAAAAAAAAAACCTATCAAAAGTGTCCGAAGTTACCCCGTTTCACGGTACTCGGTGTGTTCGAAAACGAATGATACCCCTTCGGGAAGACTCACCTGCAGCGACCTTGGAGTCCGGCATGCTTCCCTCCTCGCCAGGCTGGTCGAACACTCCGTGCAGCGGCGGGCACGGACCGCCATGGCCTGGGCCTGGAAGAGAACCACCGTCATTGGCAGAACCAGCCGAGGGCGCAGAGGGGGCGGCGAGGGCCTTACCGCACACAGCGCTCTGCACGCACGGGGACGGCTGCAGTCCGGAGCTCCAGTCGCAGTCAGCACTCTCCGTCGGCAAGTCGATGCTCTCGGCTTTCACACCTGGACAGAAAGGAAAGTTACAGACAAATAGACTCCCTTCTCCATGGCCAACGCCCATCACGCCAAAGCATCCCACAGACAAGCAAATATTCATGCCAACATTCACTAGATACTGGAAACAGGGTGTAAGCAACGCTTAAAACGCGACCGTTCAGGAACTGGTAGTTAACTACATACAATTAATCGGCACTGGTAAACTTCCTTTTAACGTTTATGTAGAATTTTGTACGAGTAACTAGCGCAATTTTGTACACACGTGGAGTTTGCATAATATTATGCGTCAAAATGCATGACTTTATGAAAATTTGAGAACAATTTCATGCAAGACGTCACACGAGTTTAAAAAAATTCATCACCACGTACAAAATGTAACAAACATAAAGCGTCGGAAATTTGTGCTAAAACTGCGTGCACAACTGGTTATGACGAAATGACAGAGGACCTGCTGGTGGTTAGCCGTCCCTTGCAGGCCAGCTGCGCACTGAAAGTGATGGAAAGGAATGGCGTTATTAAGAACGTTAATGGTGCGTACAGTTTGACTTGAACTACCATGTCAGATACAGCAATCAGAAAAATACAACGAAGTACTGCAAAGAAGTGAGAGAAAGCAATGCAGATTTACTTATCAGACCGCATATGCCCATATGTTGGTATGCATTTTACAGAACAATTACAACAAAGACCTGCAAAAGCGTCTTTAAAATGAACTCCAGGTGCACTTTCAAACGATAATGAAACTTGGGTACTCTTTCAAGTAACAAATCTCTAAGACTAAGAAACCATAAGCAATTACAATAAATGTTTGGAACAGTTTAAATTTAAGCTACGGACATGTTTCAAAGCAAAACAAGGTTTTCGGTGACGACAGCATAAGCTTTTAATGTAGCGGTATAAATTTGAATGAACAAGTAACAGCAAATTGGAAAGGACCAAGGGACCCCTCACTCGGAAGTTTGCTGTACACAGATTGCTAAATTGTCTCGTGTCATTTGTGTGTGATTCTTGGAGAGGACTCTCTTAGTGGCACGTTTGGCACGGAATGGATCCTCGTGTGCCTCACGACGCTGCTCCTCTTGCCCTTGCCACACACACCGCACGAGTGCAAGGGAGAAGGCCTCGCCGGTGAGTCCCTGCTGGGCCTGCGCCGCGCCGACGCCTGCAACCAAGGGGCCTTGACTTTCGAGGCTTTCCGACTGAGCTCTACATGAAGAGGTCGCGGCGCGGTAGCAGAGAGGGCTTTCCACGGAGATGTTAGCTTCAAATGACATTTCTGTGACGTTTGACACCACGCACTTCGAGCGATGCGTTCCAGGCGCCTCGGGAAGGACTCACCGGCAGCAATCTGCGGACCGCACGACCGAGCGGCGGCCACGGACCTCCCTGCCGCGAAACGCACAGCCACCAGGCGATGGAGGCAGCCGAGGGCGCACAAGGGGGCGGCGAAGGCCTCGACGCCCACGACGCGGTGCACGCACTCCGCCAAACGCGGGACTCAGCCGACACTCCGCAAGTCTCCACTCTCGGCTCCCAACCCTGGACAGAAAAGACAGTGTTAGCACCAAGGGCTGGAAACGCCGTACCAGGGTGTCCACGAGGTGCCTCTCGCGCGAAACGGCAAACTGGCTACACAATCAGCCCGAGAGAGACAGCACGAAGATGCAGCGAAACAAACAATGAACGCCACAAATTGGATGACGAGTCCCGAGAAATACGGTGTAGAGTTCTGTCGGGAGACTTACGCGAGGTCATATTTTTCAAAGCGATTTCTTTACATACCTGCCGGAAATTTCTCAAGCAAAATAGAAATTTGGGTGGTTTGGAACTTTTTCAATGATTGACGGCAATTAGTTTTCCCTCAATTGATTCGGCTATTTCCACACATTTTTAACAGTGGTGTCCCGACCGTCAAACACGTGCATTTGGCATTATGGCACTCTAACTGTTTATCTCTAAGTATCCATAATTGTTGCCAGTTTAGGTACGGAACATTATGGGACAACACGATATTCAGGCGAAGTATTTATAAAATGGGACCTAATGTGCAAATTGATACATACCTTACATAGGCACAAATATGGCATTAGTTACAGGCAAAAAATGCAAAGGCATTGAGTGCGTGACACTATAGCGGCATGGTAATGGCATCTCAGTACTTAAGTTCCCAAACAGCGTGGGAACTGACGAATTTTCGGCGTGTGTTTCACTCTAAGCGATCCGGGTCAAGAAAAAGAAAACAACAGTCAGGAATATGGTTCTTTGACGTTACCCAGTTACCCGACTCGGCTTCACTGAAACAACTGTCAGTTGGAAACACGTCACAAGTAGGGTTCCAGAAGGTTCAGCAGGTTACTCGTTACCACGTCGTCGGCCAATGAAGAACACCGTTGAATGAATTTTAATACATTTTTATCACGTTTATGGTGAAGCTCTAATCATTTTACAATGCTGAAACTGTCATGCATCATAGCTGTTAAACTCTTCTTGACAGTGTAATGTACGATTGAAATTAGCCTGCGCGCCCAACTCCCTACTCGAGGTCCTGGGAGGGCGAAGGTCTAACTCAACAGGCACCGCTGGGACTGGTCTCCGGTGACGCCAGCAACCGGACAAACGGAGAGAGCGTCCGAGCGGGGAGCACACGCTCAGACCTATTTGGACTTTTTTCTCTCTTGCTTACAGCGGTTTTTGAGCAAACGTACTATTTTCCCCTTAACTATGCACAATTTTGATCGTTTTAGGGAAATAATAGTCAATAGATCATGTAGAAATTGAAAAGTACATTGCAAATGACATTAAGTCCGCTTTAATGGACTATAAACATTATACACTGAACAAAATGGTGCATAGCCAAAGAGAAAATAGTACATATTACGTTTGCACAAAAACCTTTATGGCAAAAGATGAAAAGTCAATTCGAGTCTGAGAGTGCAATAGCATAGCACCCCTGCACTCCCTCCGTTTGCGGCAGGGGAAAGAAACATACATGGTTAGTGAAAACAACTTCTTTCCCTTTTACAGTCAATTCGATGTTGGAACGATCCATTTTACTTCGTTCATTAAATATATCATAAGGTGTTAAAAACAACATGGTAAGAAAACGGTAATTGAAGCAGTCCTATTATTGTTCCGAATATACCTATTGGATACACCGAGCTGTCACTTTTCACTTCCTAAAACTACAAACACAACAAGGCAGACTGGCAAGGTGTCGAAGCAGGAAAACAAAAGAAGCAGTTACAAGAAACAAGGAATGAAACATAAATAAACTTCAATGCAACAAGGCGACATATAACAAACCCTTGATTTAAAAAAAAACATATGCGGCACTGTTATTCTCTTAGGAGAGATACTCCCCTTACAAAGATACGCATACAATTAAAAATCGAACAAGATCAGCACTGACGATAACAAGAGCTTACTACAGCGACAATGGAGCAAAAATCAATACAGGGAACGAATTTTACAAACAGCAGTGTGTCCGCGGGTCCTCTCGTGTGCATTCCCACGAAAACGTCTTTAATCACACACCATATGCCTACAGCTTCTTTGCCGCGTGAATCCTCTTGTGTCGCGCAAAAGAAGCTGAATGAGAAAATGCCCTCCCGCACACGTCACACGTATAGGGCTTCTCTCCAGTGTGGACTCTCTTGTGCACCAGTAGGGCAGATGAATCAGAAAAGGCCTTGCCGCACGCGTCACACTTGTAAGGCTTTTCCCCAGTGTGGATCCTCTTGTGTGTCACTAAATGACTTGACACAGCAAACTTCTTTCCGCACTCCCCACACTTGTAAGGCTTCTCCCCGGTGTGGGTCCTCTTGTGTTTCACTAAATGACCTGACTCAGCAAACATCTTTCCACACACGTCACACTTAAAAGGCTTCTCCCCGGTGTGGATCCTCGAGTGCCTCACAAGATGCCACTTCCAGGAGAACTCCTTGCCACACACCCCGCACGAGTGAGGTCCGCCCTCAGTGTGACTTGCAAGGTGGTCCCGCAATCCGCTCTCAGTCCGGAAACGCTGGCCGCACTCCCCACAGTTGAATCCGCGGCGCGCCTTCCTGCCCGTCTCCTTGCTCGAGGCCTG